GAGTTGCTGCCATGTGATTGGTTGATTAGCAATTTGCGTTACTGAGCAATTGAACAGGTGTACCTAATAAAGTGGCCGGTGAATGTATACATTGGATCCTGTATGCATAAATGTAATATACTGTATATTGGATCCTGTGTGTATACAATGTATTATATAATCATCCTGTATGTATACAATATAATATATGTATCCTGTGTGTATGTGGCTGTATATACAGTCCTTATATAATGTATCCTGTATGTATATAAGATATTATTTAATGTATCCTGTATGCATACAGTTTGTCTACATACAGAATGCAATAAATGATGATGATTCTTTTTCTCCATTTAATTGGATAAAACAAAATAGGGGTGGGCTATACAATGACTGGTCACTGTGATAGTCAATCACAGCTCCCTCCGATTACTGATTGTCAGTAAAAGGCCCAGAGCTCTCAGTGACAAACCCAGCAGCACATATACAGTATGTGGGCTCACAGATAAACTTCTGTGAAGTCCCATTCGTTCGTGTACTTGTTGGGAAGGGGGTTGAAAAGGCACCCTGTCTTCCTGCAGTCTTCCATCTGGTCTGGTGATGTCACCAATGTATTCTTCTTCATTCAGCGGTGGTGGGGGGCGAACATTCTTACAGGACTGAGTGGCTCTCACGCATGGAGTGTGATTACAGAGGTCACAGAGAAGTGATGCAGAGATCAGGGGTCAGAAGTAATGGAGCATTCAAAGGTCAGCAATGACTCAGTGGTATGCAGTGAGTAATGCAGAGATCAGTGATCAGTAGTAAGTAATGCAGAGATCAGGGGTCGGTGGTAAGTAATGCAGAGATCAGGGGTCGGTGGTAAGTAATGCAGAGATCAGGGGTCGGTGGTAAGTAATGCAGAGATCAGGGGTCGGTAATGCAGAGATCAGGGGTCGGTAATGCAGAGATCAGGGGTCGGTAATGCAGAGATCAGGGGTCGGTAATGCAGAGATCAGGGGTCGGTAATGCAGAGATCAGGGGTCGGTAATGCAGAGATCAGGGGTCGGTAATGCAGAGATCAGGGGTCGGTAATGCAGAGATCAGGGGTCGGTAATGCAGAGATCAGGGGTCGGTAATGCAGAGATCAGGGGTCGGTAATGCAGAGATCTTAGGTCATGGGGATCAGGGGTCGGTAATGCAGAGATCAGGGGTCGGTAATGCAGAGATCAGGGGTCGGTAATGCAGAGATCAGGGGTCGGCGGTAAGTGATTCAGAGATTAGGGATCTGAAGTAATGCGTAGTTCATAAGTTGGTAATGACTGAGGGGTCAGTAGTAAATTATGCAGAGTTCAGAGGGCAGTAATGACTCAGGGATCTTTAGTGATGCGGAGTTCAGAAGGCAGTTTTGTCTCCAGAGAGCAGTAATGGTCTGGTCAGGAAGGGGGGTAAATGGTCTAGAGGGCAAGTGGGTAATTGGGCTGGTTGAGGCGGTGTCCATTTCTTCCGACCACCATGGCTGAATGGTATAAGCTGTACCACGCATAGCCAGCTTAGGGTGCAAGCGTCAAGTTGCCAAATGCAAAGTGCTGTAATCCATAGCAAGCCACCAACCAACCACTTAATCAATCAACCAACCAATCCTCACTTCACTGCTTTGTGTGCATTGTGCTGCACTTTGCTCCGTGCTCTATTTTATTACAGTATGTACACAGAGATTTTTTATTGTATATTTTTTTCACTGTATAAGCAGACAGGAGTTCCTGACAAACAGGCAAAAATATCTCACAAAGGAGTTTGTTGGCAACTGTTACCATGTTGTACAATAGCTCTGCACATATTTCAGGTGGGGATGGAGGTGTGGAGTCTAAGGGCCTGTTCACACCAGAATGCAATGGAAAACACACAGATAAGGCAACTGAGTTCATTTTCATGAATCTCGCAATGCATTGCATTATGTTTTTGCATGTGTTGAGACATTTTTTGTTTCCATTTTTTTCTTCTTTATACTTAAATGAAACCTCTGTAATTTTTTTTTTTAATGAGCTACATTCACATATGTTGCATTTACACGCCTTCGTGCATGTTGTGTTGGAACAAAAAATGCAGCCTGCTCTACTCATTTCAAATGCAAGTAATCACAATGCAATAGAGTGAAATGCATTCATTGAGAAATGTTCATTTTTATTGTCCTTGCATCTGGTGTGAACAGGCCCTTGAAGCTGATCTCTGGGGAAGACAACAATGCTGCCTTGCAGTGGGGCTGCCCTGTACTGCAAAGATAGTGCTTGTTTAGGTCTTTGTGGTTTTTTTTTTTGTGTTTTTTGTTTGGGTTTTTTTTTAGCCCCAAAAAATATTTTTTTGGCTAAAAAAAGTCCAAAAACGCCATTTTGCCACGTTTTTCACCGTTAGAGGATTTTTACAGCTTAAAAAACTCCTCTAAAAATCCACTAGTTCTGTGGTTTTTTTTCTAGCCAAAAAACGCTGATTGCAGTCTTTGTGAATGGACACATAGGGGAACATGCTGGGGAGTTTACTGGCTGTAGAAAAAAGTGGCAAAAGCCAAAAACAGGCGCTGTAAAAACGTCCCGTGTGCATGAGGACTAACGGTAATCTTCAATACTAACGCTCTGCATGCTCATTCCTAATCATCCTGAAGTCACGGCCAAAATGAAAGCTTCAGTTGCAAGCTTAAAAGCTTCTTCAAAGCTTACCCTCCAAACTTCCCGGCATAGTGAGGCACTGGTGATGGGACCCTGGAAAGGCTACATCACCAGTGGAGAAGGTGTCAAACTCGTGGCTCTCCAGCTGTTGCCAAACTACAAGTCCCATGAGGCATTGCAAGATTGACAGTTACAAGCATGACTCCCAAAGGCAGAGGCATGATGGGACTTGTAGTTTTGCAACAGCTGAGGGCTGCCAGTTTGACATCTGAATCTTGCATAATTTCAGTAAGTCTTTTTTTCAACAGATACTGTACGTGTAATGTTGTATGGTGCATGCGCAAGGTGAGGTGCAGGTGCCACAGCTGCAGAACAGGTTTACATCCTCCCAGCTTAGGTGGTAAAAAAAAAAAACCCAGCCCGTGTACATGAGCCCTAAGCCATCAAATCATATTAAAGTGAAACTAAAGGCACTGAAGCCAAAGGTTCCGATAGAGATGATTAGAGATTGGAGCGTCCCTGATCATCTCTATAGTATGAGAAGTCAGAAGGGACGAGTATTTTTTCACTTCCAGTTTCTTGTTTACCGGCCACTGCCGACTTGTGAAAGCTTCGGATCGAAGCGATCCGAGCTTGATCTGAAGCTTTCAAGGGCAGAGGAGAGATCTGGGGTCTAATAGACCCCAGGTGTCTCAGTAAAGAGGACCTGTCATGTTTTGTTGCTATCACAAGGGATGTTTACATTCTTTGTGATAACAATAGAAGTGATTAAAAAAAATAATAATGTATAGGGACAGTGTAAAAAGAAATTTTTTTTTAAAGTGGTAGTATAGTAAACTCGTCTTTAATAATTCTACCTGCATAATAAAACTTACCTGTAGGTAAAAATTAATGCAGTATGTCCTGAATGTGAACCGTTTAGGAGATATTAGCCCATTTTGATATTCGGACCATGCGTTCTGAAGGAATGGCATACCTGTGCCGTTTCTTCAGAGCACCGTGGCCCGGGGCTTCCAAGCACATGCACGGGAGTGACGTCATCGTGGCTCGAACAGTCAGCTGGCAAGAGCTTACGAACCTGGAAGGAAGACTGGGTGAAGATGGAATCTCCAGGGAGCACATGCGTGGGAGTGACGTCATCGCGCCTCGGCCAGTCAGCTGGCCAGAGCTCGTGAACCTGGAAGGAAAACTGGGTTTAGATGGAAGCTCCAGGGAGCACATGCGCGGGAGTGACATCATCGTGGCTCGGCCAGTCAGCTGGCCAGAGCTTACGAACTTGGAAGGAAGACCGGGCGAAGATGGAAGCTCCAGGGAGCACATGCGAGGGAGTGACGTCAGCGTGGCTCGGTCAGTCAGCCGGCCAAAGCTCACGAACCTGGAAGGAAGACTGGGTGAAGATGGAAGCTCCAGGGAGCACATGCGTGGCAGTGACATCATCATGGCTCAGCCAATCAGCCGGCCAAAGTTCGTGAACCCGGAAGGAAGACCGGGTGAAGATGGAAGCTCCAGGGAGCACATGCGCGGGAGCAGGGGCGGACTGACAATTTGGAAACTCGGGCACTGCCTGTGGGCCCGGGGTCAGTAGGGGGCCCCATGAGATGCCCCTGGTACCTTTTTTTTCATAGGCTTTTTTGAGTTTGGGCAAGGACACAGTGACATCATCACGGCTCGGCCAGTCAGCCGGCCAGAGCTCGTGAACCTGGAAGGAAGACTGGGTTTAGATGGAAGCTCAAGGGAGCCGTGACAGCACTCTGCTGGAGGGCTTTGTTTCAAGATAAGTCCCTACACGAAAAGGCGAACGCATACGTAGGTTGTGCACACATATGTATACAGTGTTCACACCCACATGTGAGGCATTGCCAGGAATGTTCTAGCAAGAGCCATAATTCTAGCACTAGACCTCATGGGTAGCTATAAACCGGTCACCTGTAAAGGCTTTTAAAGCCCATGGGGAGTTTTAGGGACCATAGTTTGTTGCCATTCCACAAGCGTGCACAATTTTAAAGCGTGACATGTTAGGCATCTCTTGGCATCATATTATCTTTCATTTTCTACCAAACAATTGGGTTTTATATGGTTTTTGTGCATTAATATTCATTAAAGTATATTTTTTCCAAAAGAATTGTGTTTTGAAAAAACTACTGCACAAATACAGTGTGCCATAAAAACTTGCAACACCCACCATTTTATTCTCTGGGGCCTCTGCTAAAAAATATATTTAGGGTTCTAAGTAATTTTAGAATTTGCCTAGTCCATAAAGTGGTTAAGTCTGTTGATATTTACAAAAATTGGTGCAAAAATCAGTGAGGGATCAGCTGATTTGTGCCATTGCTGGAATAAATTTGTCACATGTTTGTTTTGTTTTTTTTGTCTTTCCAGCCATCGTGCCAACCTGTTCAGAGAGATAGAACCTGTTGAGCTTCCAAACTGTCACCTTTTGGATGGCATTGGTATGTACCTGACTTTTCATGATGGTCACCTACATTGTAAATTCAAGAAACTCGAGGAGTTATCTTACATACATCGGTTGTTTTACCTCATTCTCATGTTCACATCACAATGTTCAGTTCCCAGCTATATTGCATGGATTGTGGGATTCTTTTCAGCTTGAAATAAATATTTAGGGGTCTATGTATCAATCATTTGCACAGGCGCAACAAAGTATGGCTGCGTGGCATTGCTCAGCACTGACTTCCTATAGGTGACAACAGAGTATCATGCCTGCACAATGAACATCAGCACAGCGTCTTATAGTATCCAGTTAAAGCCTTTGGTGTTGTCACCCCGTAATGAGAAGTGCCTGAACAAAAAATCTTGATAGTAGGGTCGACTGGTACTATTTTAATGAAAATTACAGTCTTAAAAATATTGAAAATTACTTTTTGAAATTACATGAGCATGTTAAAGACTAAAAGATATTTTCATGATTGGGCTTCTATCTACATTACAAAAATATAAAAAAAATATGTAAACTGTTCATAAATTACTGAATTTATTCTCCCTTGAGAAGAGGAGATTAAGGGGGATATCATCTGCATGTATAATACATAAGGGGGATATCATCTGCATGTATAATACATAAGGGGGATATCATCTGCATGTATAATACATAAGGGGGGATATGATCTCCATGTATAATACATAAGGGGGGATATGATCTCCATGTATAATACATAAGGGGGGGATATGATCTCCATGTATAATACATAAGGGGGGATATGATCTCCATGTATAATACATAAGGGGGGGATATGATCTCCATGTATAATACATAAGGGGGGATATGATCTCCATGTATAATACATAAGGGGGGGATATGATCTCCATGTATAATACAAAAGGGGGGATATGATCTCCATGTATAATACATAAGGGGGGGATATGGTCTCCATGTATAATACATAAGGGGGATATGATCTCCATGTATAATACATAAGGGGGGATATGATCTCCATGTATAATACATAAGGGGGGGGATATGATCTCCATGTATAATACATAAGGGGGGGGATATGGTCGCCATGTATAATACATAAGGGGGGATATGATCTCCATGTATAATACATAAGGGGGGATATGATCTCCATGTATAATACATAAGGGGGGATATGATCTCCATGTATAATACATAAGGGGGGATATGATCTCCATGTATAATACATAAGGGGGGGATATGGTCGCCATGTATAATACATAAGGGGGGATATGGTCGCCATGTATAATACATAAGGGGGGGATATGGTCGCCATGTATAATACATAAGGGGGGATATGATCTCCATGTATAATACATAAGGGGGGATATGATCTCCATGTATAATACATAAGGGGGGATATGATCTCCATGTATAATACATAAGGGGGGATATGATCTCCATGTATAATACATAAGGGGGGATATGATCTCCATGTATAATACATAAGGGGGGATATGATCACCATGTATAATACATAAGGAGGGATATGATCTCCATGTATAATACATAAGGAGGGATATGATCTCCATGTATAATACATAAGAGGGATATGGTCTCCATGTATAATACATAAGGGGGGATATGGTCTCCATGTATAATACATAAGGGGGGGATATGGTCTCCATGTATAATACATAAGGGGGGGATATGGTCTCCATGTATAATACATAAGGGGGGGATATGGTCTCCATGTATAATACATAAGGGGGGGGATATGGTCGCCATGTATAATACATAAGGGGGGGATATGGTCGCCATGTATAATACATCAGTGGTTCATATAGTGAACTCAGTGTAGAGCTATTCACCCTGAGGCCATCACAGAGGACAAGGGGGCGCTCTTTACATCTGGAGGAAAAGAAATTTAACCTCCAAACATGGAAAGGTTTCTTCACAGTGCGAGCTGTCAAAATGTGGAATAGACTCCCTCCCTCCCTCTAAAAATCTGACCACAGGTTTCTTTTCAGAGGTCAGGCAATTTAACTGCACGTCTAAACTTAGCTTTACAGTTCAATGGTGTGTGGTCCTCTTTTGGTCACTCTTGCGGTTGGTAATGGGCCGGTAGCTCCAATGTGGTCATTACTGGCTTGGTAGCACTCTTGTGGTAATTTTTGGTCAGCAGTAGTTGGCCCAGTTCCCTCATCCTTAAGGAATCCATAGCAGTCTCATGGCCAGCTATGGCTGTAATTATATCCGTGTTTGATTACAGCTCCCGGTGCAGTTACTCAGTGAATTTGGTTTCATGCTGAAGTAGATTAGGGGATGATATTCAGGAAGAGCCATCCAAACTCTTATCCTCCTCTTCCGCACAGATCACATGACTTGTCTGACCACATTTCATCATGTGACTGGATGAAGCCACAAGTGCAAATTATGCAAAATTCACCAGCACCTCTTGTATCATTTCTGGATTCCTAGGAGCAGGATAGTCCAGATGAGGGAGGTGGTGAACTCGCTGTAGGTCTCCACTCCATCTGGGTTTCTGATTACTATGTAATGTATATGTTTTCCAGAGTATGGATCTGAAGACATTGAAATTCTTCCCAATGGGCTGGCATTTATCAGTTCTGTAAGTATTTAACATACCTTGATCATCTGAGCGTTGTTGTCTCAATGTGTTTCTCACTTCTCCAGCAATTGGAACATGAATTCTACCAGCTCCTGACATAGGAAAGCTAGTGCTAGTGGTACCATTTTTTTTTTTTTTAGACCTTAAAACTGATGGACCTTCACAAAATCATATAACAAAAACTGCCATCCACATACAGTGACCTACAATGGCCGCATTGGTAAACAAAAATACTCAGGCTTTAAATGATCTGAAGGGCCGTGTAGGGCAAAACAGGTTCATTAATTGCACACCACTTACCACTACATATACTTCTCTTCCTTCTCTCTCTTGGCCTGTAGAGAAAAGAAACTTGAAAATTCCAGAACTGTTTTGGGGACACCTGACCATCAAACCTTCCAACCTATATATATGGCCAAAAACTGTGGACACCTCTCCAAATTATTGAGTTCAGGTGTTTCCATTGAAAGTTACTGGTAATACAATTTGACCCTTTTTGTTCCGACATGCTGTTTTTTTTTTTTTTTTTAATGTGTGCAGCATAGAGGTGTGCATAGCCACAAATGAATGAATGGGATTTTTACAAGGGTTCTCCAAAAGGCTTCCACACTTTTTTTTTTTTTTTTTTTTTAACTCTATTTACTAAGAAAAAGTGTGGAAATTCTTTTGAAGACCCCTCATACTTTAAATGCATTTTCATGAACTAAAGCATACGTGTCTTATTTAAAGACAATATAAAGGGCCGTGGGCAGCACAGTGACTTTGTGGTTAGCACTTCTGCTTTGCAGCACTGTGTCCTCGGTTTGAATCCTGGTCATGAGACTTTCTGCATGGAGTTTGCTGCATTCTCCCTGGGCTTCTTCTGGGTACTCCAAAGATATGATAGTAGATTAATTGCCTCATGTCTAAATTGGCCCTTGTGTCTATATATACATGTGAGATTGAGGCCTTAGATTGTAAGCTTCTTGAAAGCAATAACTAATGTGTGTGTACAATATAAAAGTGCTGCATAAATTGTGGGCACTATACAGTATGAAATAAATAATATAGAAGTCCACAGTACACTCCAGGACAGCCAATCTCAACCAGGGATCCATGGAACCCAAGGGGTTCCTTGAGCTGTGGATGGTTGACCTCCCATCCAATGGTGCTTGCTTAGTTCAAGAGCCAATGATACTTGGCAGAAGCAGCGGCATGACACCAGTGACCTTTTGGCTGTCTGTATGTGTGGCATTCTGACTATCAATGTAAGGGCTAATTTCTCAATGATTCTTGAAGAATGTATTTTAGCAGAGGTTCACGAAGGCCTGGAATTTTTTTTTAAAGGTTCCTCTTGGGTTGAAAGGTTGAAAAAGGCTGATCTAGGGTGCTGTACTGGTTGACAGTAAGCGGTAACAAAAATGTAGCCTGCAAGTATGGCTGCCCAAGATTAAAGCTGTTATATAGTGAATTATCTTTTATTTAATTTTTTTTTCTTTTAGGGTTTGAAGTACCCCGGTATGTTCAGCTTTGCACCTAGTAGACCCGGAGAAATCTTTCTCGTAGATCTGAATGAGGAAAACCTTCGCCCGTCCACCCTGCGCATAAGCCGAGGATTTGACATCTCTACCTTCAGCCCTCATGGACTTAGCATATACATAGATGAAAACGGTATGGACAGCTACATTGGTTGTTTGGTTTTTGTTTGGATACAAGATGACCTATGGCTGAAGATCTTGGTGTCACTGGACAGCTGTGGTCAGATCCGTGCAGGTTCTGATCATGAGGTTACATTTGCAACACAGAAAAAAATTTGTGCAAATAAACTTCCCATCTCTCTCCCGTGTGTCAGATCATGTATAACGAGAAACCACAGAAAATATTTATAATGTAGTTTACCAGTCCTAAGATGTGGCGCTTCCAGGGGCGGACTGACCATTCAAACACTCAGGCGCTGCCTGAGGGCCCAGGGTCAGTAGGGGGCCCCATGAAATGCCCCTGGTACCTTTTTTAATAGGCTTTTTTTGGGTGTGTTTTGAGTGTGGGAAAGGACACGGGCCCCATGATCCCCTTTTGCCCAGGGGCCCCATGAGTTGTCAGTCCGCCCCTGGGGTGGACTTCTGTCCCAGGGTGTCAAGGCTCGGTCATTGTACTGTATCTATGTTGGAAGCAAAGACACCCTAGACTGCTTATTTCTTATTTTGAATACAGAACACCCCCCTCCCCCCAACATAGGAAGGAGGTGTCTTGTAGTTTACATAAATGTCTGAGATTTAATTAAGTGTTACCAGCACACTGAATTTTTGGTCACTCACAGGATGCATTTGGCAAGAGGAAGAACCTGAAGGAGAGGGCATAGTATGCACCTCCTCTGGACTCTCTTCTCCTCCTTTGCTCCGGCTTGCTGCTCTAGGCTTCTAGCTGACATTACTAGTGATGCTTCTGTTCCTACTATTGTCAGCCTATAGTGGGAGAACTAGAGGTAACATCAGCAACCTGGAGACCTGGTAAGCAAACTGATTATCCGGAGTCTGTGGGCAAGTTTTTATTGCTGCCTGTGGCCCTAATGGGGAGGTATTACTTCTGTACAAAATAAAACAGAAAAATTTGTGAAAATCTCCCCACTTCCTGTCTTTTTGGTGGGTGTCAGACAAAACAGGAAGTGAAAGTAAATTCTCCCCCCCCCCTTCCACAGTGGGCATACAGGTAGTAATAAAACATTTTCTAGTACAGCATGGTAGGCTTAGAGCAGGTGTCAAACTCAATTTCATCATGGTCTACATCAGCATTATGGTTGCCCTTAAAGTGCCAGTTGAATCTGTAATACTAGATGGCGGCACAGTGGCTTAGTGGTTAGCACCTCTGCCTGGCAGTACTAGGGTTGTTGGTTCGAATCCCAACCAAGGCACCACCTGCCTGGAGTTTGCATGTTCTCCCTGTCCCTGTGTGGGTTTCCTCCGGGTGCTCCAGTTTCCTCCTACACTCCAAAGACATGCAGGTAGTTTAATTGGCTCCTGTCTAAATTGTCCCTAGTATGTATGAATATGAGTTAGGGGCCTTAGATTGTACACCCCTTGAGGGTTAGGGACTGATTTGAATGTACAATATATATGTAAAGCGCTGCGTAAATTTACGGCGCTATATAAGTACCTAAAATAAAAAATAAATGTCCAGAGCACCCCACCCTCCTTGCATCACGGTGCACCCCTCTTATCTTTACTGCTGCCAGGAAGAAGCTGGGGGTGGAGCTGGGAAGCAGGAAGTGCAGGGTCAGGAGGAGGACCAGAGGAGGGCTGGAGTCAGCTGCCACAGTCTGCTGAATGCTGAGACCAGGGGAGGTGGAGACAGGGAAGGTGCTGCGGATGTACAGAGAGGTGTATGATCTGTTGGAGTTCTGTCCTCCCCTCTGCTGACACAAGGTGGGGGTGGGGACGAGGGGGGGCGCTGCAGCTGCAGGAGAGCTGTGAGGGCCACATGAAATGGCCTGGTGGGCCAGATTTGGCCTGTGGGCCTTTTGTTCAACACATGTGGTTTAGAGGCTCTGGAAGGACTTATACGCTGTGTTCCCAAGAAGGAGACATCCCTTCACTTTCTGTCCAGGTAACAAATGTCTGGTACTATTTATACCTCTCCACAGGCATTTTGAAAAATGAGGCATGTTCTTTATTTTTTAATTACAGGTAGTTATATAGCCCTGTCACTTTACATATATATATATTGTATATTCACATCAGTCCCTAACCCTCAAGGGGTGTACAATCTATGGTCCCTAGCTCACATTCATACATACACATATTAGGGCCAATTTAAACAGAAGCCAATTAACCTACCAGCATGTCTTTTGGAGTGTGGGGAGGAAACCGGAGTTCCCGGAGGGAATCCACACAGGCACAGGGAGAACATGCAAACTCCAGGCAGGTGGTGCCATGGCTGGGATTTGAATCAACGACCCTAGTACTGCCAGATGGAAGAGCTAACCATTTAGCCATTTTCATGCACTGTGAGGCCCATAGAGGTCTATGGCACTTCATAAAAATGCATGTATTAGCTAACTTTAATGTATTGCCAGTCCCTGGAAGTAAATTTGTCCAATGTGCCACTGCAGGAAAGCAGTCCTCAAGCCAAAAATGCATCTCATTACAACTCAGTGTCTGCGTCAACACACTACACTGACATTAAAAATGCATTAAAAAAAATAGTCCAAAGCGGACAAAGGTGAGAGTAAGAAGATCAGAAGAGAGTCTTCAGACTTCACTGTTTCCTTTTTTACTGAAAAAGCTGCATTTTCCATTCAATAAAAGCTTCTAAAAATAAGGAATTTGATCTGCTTGTTTCCTCTATACATCTCATCCCTGCAAGGGAAGTTTAATGTACCTTTTACAGTCCTAGTAATCTTCTCTAGATGTATGACACCAACTCATACCCTAGTTGTCTCCTTTCCTCCTTTCAGATGACACGGTGTACCTGTTCGTGGTGAATCATCCTCACATCTCTAAGTCCACGGTGGAGATATTTAAATTTTCTGAAGATGAAAATGTTCTGGTGCACCTGAAGACAATTAAGCACGCTTCCCTATACAAGTAAGCAGAATGACTCCCAATTCTGAATATTTATAACGTGTTTTTATTGTAAAATCTATAACTTATCAAAAGTGGTTACTTGTTAAAGCCTCTCTAACACCAGCAATAAAAACATTACAGCTTGCCAGTCCTTAGATGTGGTGGCTGCATCAGTTTTCTTTTTGTAGGTTTTTTTGTCCTTTTTTTTCACTTGGTGATTCTGCCAGTAAACACACTTCCTGTCCTGAAGTGGCAACACTCCCTGCACTGTATCTAAGGAGGAGCAGAGTTGTCACGCTGGGTTACTCTCCTGATATGGACTGCCTCTCCTCATCCCCATTACACGTGGGGGAGGGGCAGTGGGTATTAGTAGTTTGCAGAAGATGGCTTGGGAGCCATGTGAGACATGGGGATGACAAAGGTCTGTGGCCATTGCTGTAGCATGCTTGTGAGTGTTTGTCGGTGCCATTGAAGAGGACTTGTGATTGTACCGAGGATCGATTCCCTGAAAAGTATCATTTGAGGCTTTTTATGCTTTGTGATTCCTTGTGGGTCGAATTTTGAAGGTGAGCGCGCACACTAGCCGGTGGAGGACTTTTTCAGCACGGGATGTGTCACGGCATGCACTGAAGATGCACTGTGGTTTTTTTTGTTTTGTTATGGGTTTTTTTTTTTGGGACTGGTTTTTTTTTTTTTTTTTTTGGGAGGGGATTGATTATTTGAGACCGAGTTACTTTTTCTATACATCAGTGTTTGAATTATTCACTTGTGTTATTCGCACTTTATAGCGTGGTTTTTTTTGCGGCCAGAACTGTCACTTGGTATTTTTAGCACCAATCATCTGTATTTCTATGGTATGTGCAGGTTTGCATGAGGGACGCACAGGGGCGGACTGACAACTCATGGGGCCCCCGGGCAATAGAGGATCATGGGGCCCCTGTGTCCTTGCCCACACTCAAACTACACCCAAAAAAGCCTACGAAAGGTACCAGGGGCATCCCATGGGGCCCCCTACTGACCCCGGGCCCTCGGGCAGTGCCAGAGTCCCCAAATGGTCAGTCCGCCCCTGGCACATTTATGTGTAGTCTATGCTATTCATTTTTATCACTTATTATTCTTTGAGTAGCGCAGCGCCCTGTCACGCTTATTACAAAAACATTGCATTTTGTAGCACAATTAACAGGAACGTTTTTGTACTTGCCTGAAAAGAAAACTAATGCACACGCCGTATCTAAGTGCTGGTAAGCTGCAATATGCATAGCTACTGATTGTCCCTGATTGGAACGAAGTCCCTCTGTCGTCCTCATTTGTCCCTCATTTTGGTCTGATCAGTATAGTTGTATATAAAATTCACTATTTATCTTTCAAAAAGTGTTTCCCAGTGCTAAACCTTTCATCCAATTTCTAAAACGTTGCATTTGTAAATTTTCAAAAGTCAATATAAACAAATAGTGGTGGCAAAAGAAAAAGCACTTGTGGCTTTAACTAATCTTCTTTTTTGTATAATTCTCCTTTTAAGGGGGTGTGACGGGGAGTGTGCCCTATGCCTATGTGTGCTAATAGGTGTCCCTCCTTCCATATCAAATAGTTGGGAGGTATGAATATTACATTTTTTGTGACTAGGTTTAGATATCCTTTAAATGTCTTTATTGCAGAAGATACTCTGCACCTGTTTCTTCAACAATAAAAGCTCGTTTACTGCCTGCCAGCCATTTTCTTTTACACTGAGCCGTGTATGCGCAGCTTAATTCACAATCTTGGCACTCCATGAACGCCGGGACAAAGTAACTCCATGTGCATGCATGGCAGTTATATCATCCAGGGCTGGGCAACCAAGAAGACCCAGAAGAAGACTGGAAGACAGGGGCGGACTGACCATTTGGAAACTCGGGCAGTGCCCGAGGGCCCAGGATCAGTAGGGGGCCCCATGAGATGCCCCTGGTACTTTTTTTTTTTTTTTTTTTTTTTTTTTTTTTTTTTTTTTTCATAGGCTTTTTTTGAGTTTGGGCAAGGTTTGGGCAAGGACACAGGGTCCCCATGATCCCCTATTGCCCGGGGGCCCCATGAGTTGTCAGTCCGCCCCTGCTGGAAGAAGAGGGCTGCGCTGGCAATGGCGCAATGAGAGAAACCGTACATCCGTGCCCCATGCAGGGCCATGTTTTACTGGCATGGGGATCCACAGATATTGTCCACAGTTCCGTTGCTGTCCAAGGAATGTTCAGGGACGTGTATGGATGTCAATGTGTTCATGCAGCTTCTCAATTGATGATTATGGGACTGACCGCACAGTAAACCTGGCCCTGCATGGGGCACAGATTTAATCTCCCCATGTGAATGAGGCCTAAGGCCTCATGCACACGGGACGGTGAAAGAGTGAAAATGTGCACAGCATAAAATGATGGGTGTTTTCTAACTCCTGGGGAGCCTCAGGGACCATGTACAGCCTGATATACAAATAAATGAATACATCTGTTTTTATTTACTCAGGTGTGTGCGTGCGCACTGCATATTGATCCTGACCAAATCCCGAAATTAATTTGCAGAAATGCATCCAGACTTGCAAGGAGCCTCCACCATGCTTCACAGTTGTACCGCTCTCCAGCCCTTCCCCCGAACACACTGCCTTTCTGCTACAGCAAAACAATTAAAATTTTTACTAATCAGTCCAGAGCACCTGCTGCCATTTTCAGCACCCCAGTTCTTATGTTTTTCCTGCATAGTTGAGTCACTTGTCCTAGTATGCACAAAGCATAGGAACTGGGGTGCAGAAAATGGCAGCAGGTGCTCTGATTCTTTTGGAGTTCACTTCTGTTAATTTACTTTCAATTTTATTAACAGATAAAAACTAACACGTTTTCAGCATTTTGTCACACCTGCCTAAGACGTTTACACCGTACTGTATACATACTGTATATGTATTTTTTGTCTTTTTATTTCTTTAACATTGATGTAATCATGTTGCAGTGTGAATGACATTGTCGCTGTTGGACCCGAAAGCTTTTATGCCACTAATGATCATTACTTTACGGATTTCACCTTGAGATTTGTGGAAATGCTCCTCGGGTTAAGATGGACGAATGTCGTGTATTACAGCCCTAGTGATGTCAGAGAAGTGGCAACAGGGTTTCATTATGCCAATGGGATTGCAATGTCGAATAATAGAAGGTATGTAATATCCTGTGCATGGCTATGTTGGGTCAGCATTAAATCAATAGGGTGGATTTGGGCTATAAAGATCTATCACTGGATGTAAATTTCTCCCCTGGACAGTTATCATCAGAACAGGAAACCCCATTGAAAGCTTTTTACCCACCTAGTCAACTAGGGTTCTTCCAGAGGCGGCTAGGGGTTTCTTGAACTGTGGCCTACTGGCCTCCCATGTGATGGTGCCTGCATAGTTCTAAGTCAAAGACCAATTGGCAGAGCCAACGGCATTACTTTAAGGGCAGCATTATGACCACCACTGGTCATTCCTACTGACCACCACCAATGTAAAGGGCATTTTCCCAATGACCACAAACGGACCAATTTTAACAAGGATTCCCTGAGATGTAAAAATGATTGCAAGACTTCCTTTGTGATTAAAAAAAAGTTGAAAAAAGGCCCTTCCTGTCAACTAGCAACCTACACGCACACCAGCTCGTGGAGTGATGATGCAAACTAACTCCATGTGCAGGGGCGGACTGACCATTTGGAAACTTGGGCACTGCCCGAGGGCCCGGGGTCAGTAGAAGGCCCCATGAGATGCCCCTGGTATCTTTTTCATAGGCTTTTTTGAGTTTGGGCAAGGACACAGGGACCCCATGATCCCCTATTGCCCGGGGGCCCCATGAGTTGTCAGTCCGCCCCTGCTCATGTGTGCACATTCATGTGCATCCTTGACTCTAGGTGTGCTCAGTGGCTTAGGGGGTACCTGAGCTCCTTCTCTTGTGGTGGTCTGTGCTGTGCTAGCTACCTTACTTGCTAGTTTGCTGCTGTTCCTGGTTTGTCTGTGACCCAGATTGCCTGCCCTTGCTCATATCTTCTGCACCCATTGTTGACTCTGCATATTCCTGATATTCTCTTGCCTGCCTCATGCTCTGACCTCAGCCTGGATATGGACCACTTTCTTGTCTGCTGCCTGCTTTGACCTCCTGCCTGGACCCGACTATTCTCTATCCTGCCCCTACATAAGGTCATACTGTGACCTTCAGCTATTTCACACCTTGTCTCCACATTGTAACCACCCTGCTCCTGTGACCCCCTCGGTGGGGCTGTTCTGGGGGCTACAACTTGGTGACAGCAGCAGAGCAGTCCAGGGGCCACCAAGATCCCCAGCCTATCACTACTTGTAGAGTGCTCTAGTGAAGACTATGTTGTCACTTAGAACCAGTTCACCCCAAGCCTGCACAGGAACGCACTATGCGTTCCCGTGTGATTCACATGCGGTTCTGTGTGGCGCAATTTCAACCCATTAATTCTGAAATGGGCTAAAATCGCACAGCACCAAAAGAGTGCATGCACTACTTTTTAACCACTTGTCCTGCAGAGGATTAACCCCCCCCCCCCCCCCTTCCTGACCAGACCATTTTTTTTGATATGGCAATGCATTACTTTAACTGACAATTGCGCGGTCATGCAATGCTGTACATAAATTAAATTTATGTCCTTTTTTTTCCCATAAATAGAGCTTTCTTTCCATTGTATTTGATCACCTCTGCATTTAATTTTTGCAGTATAAACAAAAAGACAGTTTTGAAAAAAAATATATATTTTTGACTCTGCTATAAAACCTATCCAATAAAAATGTAAAAAAAAAATCTAATTTCTTCATCAATTTAGGCCAAAATGTATTCTGCTACATGTCTTTGCTAAAAAAAAAAATCCCAATACATGTAAATTAATTGATTTACGTGAAAGTTTTATAGCGTCTACACATGGCGATGTATATACTGGAATTTTTTTTTTTTTTTACTAGTAATGATGGCAATAGTGGGACAGCGGTGGGCATTCTGACACTGGGTTGGAGGGCAAGCGGCTAAAGCGGCTGCAGCCGGATTGCATGGTACAAAAATACAATGTGATACGGTCAGCGTTTGCAGCCTGCGTTTTGTAGTTCCGTTTTAACTTTGTATTGACACCCACTGCAGCTCACAAATGGAGTGCATTTTGCATGCAGTCTGAATCGCACAGGAACGCACAGCATGGTCCTGTGTGGGCATGGCATGATGCAGCCTTCAGACTACATGCCTCAGGTGAGCCCTTGTTACCTGCCAGGCATCCCATTCTTAACACAATTGTAGCCATAGCCGTGCAGAGCGATTGTTGGGTCCGGTGACAGAGCGGGTCACCGATGGGAAATGTCAGGAGAGCCCATCATAAACCTGCAGCTTCTTTGGGAGTTGGCACTACACCATGTTTAAATAAATCTTTCCAACTGAAACCTTCATCATCATTATCCTGTACTTGTTCTGTCTTTGCAGGTTCATATATGTTGCTGATCTCTCTGACAAAACAATTAACGTGTTAGAGAAACACGCAAACTGGACTCTGTCATCAGTAAAGGTATAAAATATTAATACTGGGGTTTTTTTTTTTTTGTTTTGTTTTTTGTATTCTAGTTTTTTTACTGAACTCTGGGCAAACAGCTGAAATACAAATATCATATGTGAACGTCGCACCACATAGCCAAGTTCCATATTCATGAATGTGGCTCTAAGCCCATGTTGTCAATAATGCTCTCTACATAATGTAGAGTACAGACTGATTGATAATAGGTTTTGTCAAAGGCAATACATAGGGGCAAATTTATAAAAAAATAAAAAAAATTTGCTTTCTGAATGTCTCAACATTTGCGCAAGAAAAAACGCTTAGGAACATTCAACCAAGAGTAATAGGGACATTCGACCAGCAGGAAAACCACTATGAGGCAGGCTTCTGCATTGTGTACAATCTATGGAGAATGCCCGACTGAATGGATGTTCCGCCAAATGAACCTTCAGCTGCAGAGTGAAGCAAAACATAGAGCATCAATATTATTACCACTGCTAACTGTGACCGCTTCCTAAACGTTGTTTGGTAGCAGTCGCCTGCCAGCTTCCTAACAAACAATGACTCATTCCCTCCTGGCACCTGAATGAAATAAAGGGGAACTCCACAAAAAGAAAAAAAAAAGGCACAGGGTCCCCCTGAAATGCCATTCTAGGCCCATGGAGTCTGGTATACATTTTTAGGGGAATCCTCACAGAGAAAGTGAGGTCCCCCAGAATCCATTCCAGACCCTTATCTGAGGTTGCAGCTTGAGTGAGTAGAAAGGGGGGAGGCAAGCATGCAACCTCCCTCACTGAACCATGTCAGGCCACATGCCCTCAACGTGGGGGGGGGCCTTGCCAGTGGGAGCCCCCTGACAAAGCACCTTGTCCACATGTTATGTACCCCTTGTCTTATAGACACAGAGTGGGGCTTGGGAGTGAGCATGCATGAATGCCCCCATAACAAGCCACTTGCTATGGGGGCAATCGGCAGGGGAGAGGAGCCCAGAGCACCAGTGGGGGACCTGATAAAAGGAGGATGGGGGTTGCAGGTAAGTATAACATTTTTTTTTTTTTTATTAATTTTTATAGAAAGGTAAATACAAAAATTGTGCCAAGGCATCGGAGGAATAGCATAACCACCTTCATAGTATACAAAAGCAGAGTAAACAATCTGTAGCAAAAATTAAATAGAGAAGATGGGACTTTCAGGGTGCGTGAACATGAATACAAAACATATTAAAAAGTTATATAATTTTTATTTCGTATTTTTGTAAAAAACACAAAAGGAAATAAATACAGAAACATAAAAAACAATTTCAGTACTAAGAGTAAAACTTAGATTCAAACTTGGGACCACCAAGGCAGTCTAGAGATATATCAAAGAAAAATTTTTCTTTGATATATCTCTAGACTGCCTCGGCGGTAGAATTTTCTTCAAAAAAATCTCCCCTGAAGAAGCCCGTGAGGGTGAAACATGTAGGGAGTAACTACAATTACATAACCAAGTTTGAATCTCAGTTTTACTCTTAGTACTGAATTTTTTTTTTTTATGTTTCTGTATTTTTTTATTTTGTGTCTTTTAAAAAAATACAAAATAAAAATTATTTAACTTTTTTATTATGTTTTGTATTCATGAAAGTCCCATCTTCTCTACTGAATATTTGCAACTTTAAGGGATGTGGTGCAATAATCCTATCTGGTCGCACCCCCGCTCGCCACTTCACTGTTACTACAATCTGTAGTAAAAGTCAAGTCGGAGAGTGTGATACTGTATATGCCAATAAACAACAGTAGTTGCAACAAAACATTGCTCCACTGATTGACCCTTAGGGGTGGAAGCTAAGCAATATAAAGTAAATCGTAGTGAAAGGAGTAAGTATATCCATAAGAAACTAATTGACACGGCTAGACCATGGGCTACTAAAGCTCTATGGATTGGGAAGGCTACAAGAACCTGGGGATTGGAGGAAGGAGCAAATTACTGTGACTCCAAAATGTACCTGGAGTTTACCCAGGGAGTTGGAAAGCTCAGCTTTTAGGTATCATTCGTTGTAGCGGAAAGGTTGCATGTGAGAGGACAGTTCTGTTCGGGAGGAATAGTATTGCATGAATTGTCTCCATCTGGCAATGAAAAGTCGAGTGGATTTGAAGTTTTGGACAATCGTGTCCAATTTCTATATAGCCAACAAAAGTATTAAGGCCTGTTTGACCGTTGATATAAGTGGTGGTGAGGGCTGGATCCATGCTTGGAGGATAGTCCTGCTGGCCACCAAGAGACAAATGTGAGCCCGGTGACGGAGATGGTGCTTCATAAAGGGGTGTGCCAAAGTCGCTGAGTTTTCCGATCCGAAGATACAAAGCATAGGGCCCTTGGGGACTTTCACCGCTTGGACTTTAGCTATATATGCTAAGACTTTGTCCCAGAATCCCGAGATCTGCGGGTATTCCCATTATCCCAAAGACCATGGAACAGAGTGGGTCGAGGGATAGCACACCATGAGCATCAATGTGATGGTTCTGCCTTATTTGATACAAAAAGGGAGGTGGGCACGATGCATATGTTTTAAATCGGGGTTCTTGGCAGGTTTCACAGACTGCAAGTTTGCATTTTTTTTTTTTTTTTTGGTATCCCGTAAGCTACAATTTAGGAGTGCTGTCAGTCGAGGACTAAGGAGCAAGGTGATATTTCGCTCTCAGATGAGTGATGAGATGGGAGTAGAGGTCGGAGTGTGGAGTAATGGAGTATTTATCACGGCTATCACGGAGGATGTTTATTTTCATTAAGAAATAAAATTAAGCCTTTAGTATCCCTTTGATCTTCTACATTAATGATCTCTATAACTGTAACATAACATTCTCTACTATATAGAATAGATTTTTATTTCCTTGGCTACGCCCTCATAGATGTCTGTGGACAAAAGAACAGAACATTGTCGGCAAAATATTTTTTTTTTTTTTTTTTTTTTTTTAATCCTGAACGACCACCACATGAGTCCTGCCAATCTGTCTGATACTGAATCTTTCATTTCTCATATACAGTATACATGTTCTGTGTTTTTTGTTTGACTTGCATGTCAGGTGCTCCAGCTGGAAGCATTGGTGGATAATCTGTCGGTGGACCCAGTCACTGGTGATATTTGGACAGGAGCTCATCCGAATGGACTTAAACTGCTTAAATACAATGCAGAGAATCCACCAGGCGCAGAGGTGAGTGTGGAAAGTCCTAGAATTGTATTATAGGAGGGAATATTAATCTTTAGCTTCTAAAACAAGGGGGTCATTGCAATCTTGTGAGTCCGGAGTGTTTTATAAGTACATGTGATGAAATATTAACAAGTGATGTTTCTGAATACAAACACTCTTTCCATTTTCTATGGACTTTTCATTTATGGTTGGACTTTAGTAAGGAGCTGCAATAAATTCTTTTGGCCTTTGCACATATACACATGTATGTTTTAGATGTAGCACTACCCCCCTAAGAGCCACTGATATTTTGCCCAGGCTTTCCCCTAAATCTTCACCCTCAGCCAAGCACACAATATTTTCTATAGGCAGGTGCACACAACTTCCACTCGTTACTTCAATGACCAGTCTAGGGGTTGTAGTTTTTGTTTATTTTGTTTTAGAACTGGGACAGGGAAGGGATATGGAATACTGAACTTCTCACACTTGACGACCGCTTTCTCTAAGTGAATCTGTGGGGTTTTTTTTTAGTAGATCTGTGTAGCAGACTGTATAAAGAATGGAGCAAAGTCATTCTGTAGAACTTGGTGGACAGTTACTCTTGTGGACACCAGCCGGTGTCCCGTCTAGCTACACCCAGCAGCTGACTATGTAGGTCCCAAGGAGGTTGAAGAACATAAGTCCCGACATCCCTGGAACTCCCTTCTCAGGGGAAGAGGAAAAAGAACCCAGATCCCATGTGCTCACTGAATATAAATACCGACACCCAGCATGCTTAGGGGCACCACTCGCTGTAATTGGCTGAAGCTGCATCCATAGTCATACTGCTCATCTGCTTGGTTCACACTATCCACCAAGAACCTTCCTTGGTTACCTGGATACAGATGAACCTTCACCCAGATGCAGCAACACTGTGAGTCACAAAAGATGAACTAACTATCCAATTGTAGCTCTTCTGTTAAAGTGGATCTGCACCCGATACTCCCCCACACTTTTCTTTCTTTCAGCCCCGCTCACCTTAAGGTGATATCAGATACTCGCCCATCCACATGATGTTCCACTGAGATCCTCTCACGCCCAGCCACAGCTCTGTTCCGCGGCACCATGTTCTTCCTTACATCATCAAGAGGCCTGCCGGCTTTTCCTGGTCCAGCGGCCGGGCCTTCTGATGATGCACCAATAGGCTAGTTGCCTCATTCTTTCCTCTATGGAAGGCTATGCCTCCTGGGATATGTCACGTGCTTATCCCAGGAGGCACAGCGGGCAGTGTGCACATCATTCAAATGACGGGCATGGGGAGGTGGGGCTGGGCTTTTTTTACTAAAAAAAAAAACCCCCAAAAATTGCAAGATACCTGTTGAGTGGAAGGGTGGAGAGGAGGGAAGTTGTATTTTCATTTTCTGAGTGTTTTTTAAATTGTTTTTACTGATTTACGGGGTCAAATCAATGATCAGTTTCAACCATAGTGATGAGAAAATTCAAAGGAGCAGAATGAAGATTATTTCATGAACAAACAAATTAAAAGGGTATATTTTTGTGTGGGGAAAAATCATACACATTGTAATGTAATACGTCTGGAATTCCATTGAAGTAGCACACATCTGTACCAAACGTTAAATTTCACCTCTATAGAACATGTTACATGTTCCGCCAGTATTTGCCCTCTCTGTGTGACAGTAGGCGGGGGATCTTCTCCCCACACCCGCTGTCACTTTTTAAAAGGATCACTCTGTCTGCATGGCCGCATCGTTCATTCAGTTTGCTGTGAATTAAGACTACAAGTAGGGCCTTGCATTGCACTTGTGATCCAAGCTCCTTGGGAAAAAAAATAACCTGCAAAAAGATGTACATTTATTATTTATTTTATTTTTTTTTCAAAAGGTGAACTGTTAAAGAAGACCTTCATGCTGCTCTGTACCAGCTCCGCCCCCTCGCTTCCCACGCCGCCATTATAACGTGTGGGCAGACTGATCCGATGCAAAATTTGCAGCGTTTTCAGTGCGAATTCTGCACAGCATCACAATCGCACCCCGTTCATATGAACCAATGCGGGTGTGTATGTTAACAACACCCCGACATCAGTCCGCAAAACGTGGTGCGATGTGCAGAATTGGATAGGTGTGAATACCTATGCGATCCGATTCCAATGCGGATCAAAAAGGGTCCTGCACGTTTTTGGTGCGGGTGTGGTGCGAATAGAGCCATACAAAATGTATGGCTCTAATCGCACCGCATACAAATCGCATGTGATTTGCACAGGAATGCAATGTGGTTCCTGTGCAATCACATGTGATTTACTGCACCGCTGTAGTGTGAAAACCTAGGTTAAGGCTAAGCACACCTCTCTGCACACATGCGCAAAGACAGCTAAGTTTTGTGACTTCCTTAAGCCATCTTTGCACATGTGCAGGAAGTCACGTGTGTGTGTGTGTGTGTGTGTGTGTGTACGCGCGCGCAGATGGCCGATGAAAACTGCATGTTAGAAGGTGTGCAACAGGGCTCACTCAGGACCTGAAGCCTTGTGGCACATCTGTGTATGCACAGGAGGTGGGGAATATATATAGATAGATAGATAGATAGATCTGCCTGGAGTTTGCATGTTCTCCCTGTGCCTGTGTGAGTTTCCTCTGGGTACTCCGATTTCTTCCCACCATCCAAAAGACATGCTGGGAGGCAGTGGCGGACTGACAACTCATGGGGCCCATGGGCAATAGAGGATCATAGGGCCCCTGTGTCCTTGCCCAAACTCAAAAGCCTATGAAAAAGGTACCAGGGGCATCTCATGGGGTCCCTTACTGACCCCGGGCCCTTGGGCAGTGCCTGAGTTTCCAAATGGTCAGTCCGCCCCTGCCTGGAGGTGAATTGGCTCCTGTCTCAATTTGGCCCTAGTATGTGTATGTATGAATGTGAGTTAGGGACCTTTAAAGCGTGCGTGTGTGTGTATAAAGTGCTGCGTAAATTGATGGCACTATATAAGTACCTGTAATAAATATTAAATATATATTCATTTTTTTATTTTTTTATTTTCATGTCCAACTATAGGAGTGGGAACGGGGAGGAGGCAGGACATCATGACTTATACGTTATGTCAAACTGCTGCCCTCCAGCTGTTGCAGAACTACAAGTCCCATCATGCCTCTGCCTTTTTAGGAGCCCTTGTAACTGTGGGCCATGCAATACCTCATGGGACTTCTAGTTCTGCAACAGCTGGAGGGCAGCAGTTTGAGCCCTGCGTGTTAGGGTGAAGGTTGGTTTTAAGGGTTTCAAATGAAATGAGTTAACTCCATGAAGAAAAGATGAAATGCTTTGACAGTTGATTTTTGTGAATTTCTGTATGGCCAGCTTTTGTAGCATGGTATATGATACAAGCGTACGCAATGCCTCTAGTTTGTGTGCTGTGTTGCAATCTTACTCTTGATTCACCAATCACAATTATTGCAGAGCTGCTTGCTTCACCTCATATATATATGTATAATAGTAATAAATTATAACAATGGTGCCGATTTCTGGGAGAATGTGAAGAGGCAGCGGACAGCCTAGACACACTGTCAGAGCACCTGCGGACTGGCCAGATGCCGCTCAATAGTGTAGCAGAGTTCTTCAGCTGCTTCCTGGTTTCTGGCCTAGACAAGTGATACATCCCAGGAGTCTTCATGGGCGTGTTTTTCTTTCATCTGGAGAAAGTGAAAATACTATACTATCTACATCCCCCGGACGAAGCCACGTGACCCTGTGGCGCAACGCGTTGGGGAGGGGCACTGACGTCACCATGCACCCGACTCCTTGGAACGGCGAATACAGGCAGTGTGTGTCTACACGCCGCTCAGGCTGGACACACACTTTAAAAGCGCTGAATGATTTTTAACTTTGTGAGTGTAATATTGGCACAAATATTCACTTTTATACCAAAGATAAGTCTCTCTCCCCCTCTCCCTCTCTCTCCCCCTCTCCCTCTCTCTCCCCCTCTCCCCTCTCTGCCTCTCTCTCCCCCTCTGCCTCTCTCTCCCCCCCCTGCCTCTCTCTCCCCCCCCTCGCCTCTCTCTCCCCCCCCCCTCGCCTCTCTCTCCCCCCCCCTCGCCTCTCTCTCCCCCCCCCTCGCCTCTCTCTCCCCCCCCCTCGCCCTCTCTCCCCCCCCTCGCCTCTCTCCCCCCCCTCGCCTCTCTCTCCCCCCCCTCGCCTCTCTCTCTCCCCCCCCCTCGCCTCTCTCTCCCCCCCCCTCGCCTCTCTCTCTCTCTCCCCCCCCCTCGCCTCTCTCTCCCCCCCCTCGCCTCTCTCTCTCCCCTCTCCCCCCCTCTCTCTCTCCCCTCTCTCTCCCCCCTCCCTCTCTCCCCCTCTCTCCCCTCTCTCCCCTCTCCCCCTCTCCCCCTCTCTCTCTCTCTCTCCCCCTCTCTCTCTCCCCCTCTCTCTCTCCCCCTCTCTCTCTCCCCCTCTCTCTCTCCCCCTCTCTCTCTCCTCCCCCTCTCTCTCCTCCCCCTCTCTCTCTCCCCCTCTCTCTCTCCCCCTCTCTCTCTCCCCCCCCCCTCTCTCTCTCCCCCCCCCCTCTCTCCCCCCCCCCTCTCTCCCCCCCCCCTCTCTCCCCCCCCCCCTCTCTCCCCCCCCCTCTCTCTCCCCCCCCCTCTCTCTCCCCCCTCTCTCCCCCCCCCTCTCTCTCCCCCCCCTCTCCTCTCCCCCCTCTCTCTCTCCCCCCCCCTCTCTCCCCCCCTCTCTCTCCCCCCCCCCCTCTCTCTCCCCCCCCTCTCTCTCCCCCCCCTCTCTCTCTCCCCCCCCTCTCTCTCTCCCCCCCCTCTCTCTCTCCCCCCCTCTCTCTCTCCCCCCCTCTCTCTCTCCCCCCTCTCTCTCTCTCCCCCCCTCTCCTCCCCCCCCCCTCTCTCTCCCCCCCTCTCTCCTTCCCAGTGTATACCTGGAGTAATAGGGAGATAATATATAGAGCCTATTGAAGGGAGGACCCATATCCTGGATTTATCCATAACAGCATTACCAGGAGTAAGGAGGTGAACCACCCAGTCTGCTTTCTACAAAGGAACACATTAGAGTAAATCAACGCTTTATGGCCCAGTAGTCCCTTAACACAGACTATCTGGATTGTATGAGCAGTTTGTTACAGCATATTGAGCAAGCTGCAAGTATGATGGGATTCACATTTGATCATATTCACTTATGAATTGGACATTTTATATATATTATTTTCTAATCATTATCTTGCTATCAATGTTGGTTTATATTGTTTGATATTATATTTTTTTCACTACTAGCAATGTAATGAATTGCTACAAGCAGTTCATCATTCACATCTTTTATATATAGATACACATTTATTTAAAGGGCGCGGCGCCATTGTTATAATTTATTACTATTATACATATCAATGAGGATGTAAAGAGGAGCCTGCGAACTTATTCTCCTTTCATATTTTAACTCCTAGTGGCTCACAGGTAACTCCATTATAGTTTGCATGCTTCACCTGCTTGCTCACATTAGTGCACACATTATTTTTACATCTACTTTTGTAATTGTAGGTGATCCGTGTCCAGAACATTCACTCTGATAACCCCATCGTGACCACCATATACGCCAACGATGGCTCAGTGCTTCAGGCATCGACCTGTGCCAGCGTATGGGAGAAGAATCTACTGGTGGGCACAATATTCCACAAAGCTCTCCACTGCAAGTTGGAGTAATCGGACCGAAAGACACCAAAATAACTGTGAAATGCACTTAAAGTGGTTGTAAACTCTTACATATACCCAGTGAAGTGATTTAGCCTCAGGTGATACACAGACATGAAACAAATCCTCCTACATAAGTTGTACCTGTTTCTCTTTAGCCCCCCTCTCTTCTACAGCCTTCTAAAGCACATATTTTACACAGCATTTCTTACCTCCAGAAGGCAGGGGTGGGATATCAGATGTCTCACACTGCACAGCATAGAGCACAAAGCTGAGTGTTATCTGAGACCTGAGTGGGAGGGAATGCACACCCCCACTTTACATAGTCTCATAGGGAAACCTGCACAGCTGAGGCTGTCAATCACCTGCTGTATGCTGGAAGGGGAGACGGGCAAGGTGGCGACATAACCTGTCATAAATCGTGCAGAGAGCAGACAGAAATCACACTAGATGCTTGAGGCAAGTAAACACTGTAGAAGGATATGCTTTGTTCATTATTCATTTCAAATGTTTACAACCACTTTACTTTTCAGGTAGGCAGGCCCTGCAGATGAATTTAGGAGTTCCAAAACTCTTGTGTGACCAAAGAAAGTCCAGCACCACCACAACAAGTTGCATAATGTTAAAAACACTGTTGGGTTGGGGCTGGTGTGTATTTTTAATGACTACTCTTTTTGAGTTCAACGTTTATGTGGCCAAACTATATAAGGGCTCCTTTACACATGCGGCAGCCCTTGCCGCCCCTCTAAGAAGCCATTCACAGTGCATCAGTTTTTTTTACAGGGCGGTCTATACACATTTGCCCCTTACCAGGTGCATTTCATGAGGTGTCAGGGCAGCTGTGGTGCAGCCCCATTCACTTGATTGGGTCACGTACTGCCTGCCAAATGCATAAGGGGGTATCGTGTGGTTTTTTTTTTTTTTGTTTTTTTTTTTCTGTGGCCATGAAGCAAAGCATTGCAGCTGTGGCATGTGTACAACCCCATCCAGCTGACTTTGCAAAGTGGGGGGGAGGCGGGGGAGAGTTACACTGCTCGACTGCCTACCTTTACCCCCCCCCCCTTTCCCAGCCACAAGCCATATATACACACACACACAGTGCTGCAGTGCATTTCGGAGGACAGCTACAGGCCTTATTTATCGAGAAACGCCCTTTTGAAAAAGAGTTCCACGGTGGCATTTCATAGGCAGCTAGGAGGCAGTACGTTGCCTCCTGCAAAACTGTTTTAATTAGTGAAATCACGCAGCATCTGTGTGCATGATATGCTGTTGCAGTGTTGTCCTTTTCACGTGAATGAAAATGGAATTGCCGCCTCCAGGTTGTACAATTTTTTTCACTGCACTTTGACTACACCGACAAGTACCAACATGGAATAGTTGGCCATATTGACTTACGGTTGGAGGGCAGTAAAACCACCACTCATCTGTCCTCTATTACCACTCCTGGACCCCTCCTGTAAACAAGGCTAAATGCAGCTGTTTGTTATCTGGGTCCACTGAAAAACTGCATTGCACTATTATGGCTGCCTTGGGGGAGGGTGACACCATCCTTTTGGCTTGTACTGGAAGTGGCCATGATCCATTGCTACAGGATTCCCACCAAGGACATAAGGAGCTGGGGTACAAGTTAGTTTTCCAGCAACTGTGTAAAACTGAAATATCTGCTTTTAGAAGGGCAGGCCTCTGAAAGATGTTTCTTATTTTTGTAAACTGGGCAATGTTTTTTATTTTGTGATTTTGTTGTTTCTGTAAAATGTGACCAGAATAAAGAACCTTTTTTGGTTGACCTTGACTATATATTGGCTGCTTGTATATTCATTGAACCAGTGATTGTATTTAAGTGCTGACATAAAGAAGTCCGTTTATTGAACTATTCACTTATTCAATAAGATGAACATAAATGTGCAAAAGGAATTATCCCCTAGAGCAGGGGTGTCAAACTGGAGGCCCTCCAGCTGTTGCGAGACTACAAGTCCCATCATGCGTCTGCAGGGGCAGACTGACAACTCATGGGGTCCCCGGTAATAGGGGATCATGGGGCCCCTGTGTCCTTGCCCAAACTCAAAAAAGCCTATGAAAAAGGTACCAGGGGCATCTCATGGGGCCCCCTACTGACTCCGGGCCCTAGGGCAGTGCCAAATGGTCAGTCCGCCCCTGTGCGTCTGCCGCTTGGGAGTCATGCTTGTAACTGTCAATCTTGCAATGACTCATGGGACTTGTAGTTTGGCAACAGCTGGAGGGCTGCCAGTTTGACACCCGTGCCCTAGAGGAATTTGATGGTTTTTATATTTCAGTCTACAGCAGTATGTTACTATGGCTGAGAGATAAAGCCCAGAGCCCAGGCACTGTTGACTTGGGAAATCCACCTGCCAGTTTTTCAGACTTCTGGTTCCCCATTGATGATTGATGTATGCCACTGCTGTGGCATTGTCCAACTGAATCCAGATCGGATGACCACGAGAAGTCCAATGTTGGTGGGACAACCAAATTGCATGTAGCTCCGAGATGTTGATTGGAAGACAAACTACCTCTAGCAAAAAAGGCCCATGCACCATGAAGCTGTCCAGGACTCTTTCCCAGACCGTCATCCATCATGTGATCTTCCAGAGCAGTGAGAGGAAGAGTTTTCCTGACTCCAAGACTGGATTTGTAAGCCACCAGGCAATGGATAGCCTAGTCTTAGATGTCAGGTGCACATGTCCGTCTAAAGAATGGGCAAGCTTGTCCCACAAAGCCAGAATGTTAAGTTACAATGGTCTGGTTGCATCAAACCCAGAACTCTCAAGGCTAGAGAAAGACCTCTCCTGGGCTGCAGAGTCCAAGCATGGGAACGAAGAGTTGGCAATTATTCCTAAGGAAGGAGAACTCTTTACTCAGCAGTATCTAGAAAGAGCCTGGTTGGCTCCAGTGCTGACATCTGAGGGTTCAGTATCCAACTCTGGAGCGTTCAAAGAGTTTGGGGGACATTGCCTGATACATGAATGGTCCCATACTGAGGGAACAGTCAGCACAGAATTTATGTTAGTGGATTGAAAGCTGGGCAGGGCCTGCAAGGCTTGTGTCCTACTGCTAGTATGGAAAGTGACCTATACCAATAAAGGTGCTCACAAAAACCCAGCTGGAAATACAAGAGAGGTTAAGTGAACTTCTGTTACCAAGTCATTGTGGGTAGCAGTGAGGACTGACCCTGGGACCCTTGTGGGAAGCCAGCAGTGCTCCTACTCCAGCCATAGGTGGATAAAATCTCTAAAAATATTGCAAGAAAAGCACACATTACAGTGTCTGCCTTGCTAACTAGACATGTACATGCTGGAAATTTTTGTTTCATTTCAGATGCATTTGTTCATTGAAGCACGTCTGGTGACTGACTGGTGTAGCTAGTGATAAAGTAATGGCACCACTGGTGACATGTTGCTGACTGCACTGTTTATTTGCACTACACTGGGGGTTAGTGATCAGAGACACTGTAGGCAGGATGGTACTGGTGTTGGTGTGTACATACAGCATGTGGATAGGATGGTACCGGTGTTAGTGTGTACATACAGCATGTGGATAGGATGGTACTGGTGTTGGTGTGTACATAACAGTGTGGCCGGTTAATTACACTCACAGGCTTCTGAAACCATTCTCTCTCCTCTCACAGGTGATCTCTGTGGGAGAAGAGAGAACAGATCTTTAGTATCACTTTCTAGGTTTACAAATGTGATTGCTGTGATTGGACACAGTGATCACATGGTACAGGACTATTTCCATAGGTCATGTGATTTGCTGTGTCCATGGGACACTGTGTTCACCAGGCTTGTGGGTTCTAAGTAGTTTTCTTTATAAAATTGTAGATTTTACATATATGTGAAAAATAGCAAAACTGCACACTGCAGCTTCTGCATATATTTTCAGATGTGTAAACGTAAATGGTTAGCCAGGGTCACATTTGTTTTGCAGGCTGGCTGGTAAGTATGTTGGAAAATCTGTTTGTTTGTGATGTATGTTGCCCTTCCATGTGTACCTTGCTGCAAAGGCTATTTGTAGGTTGGGGTGGTTGCCATTTTTTTTTGTGCACAATGTCAAAATTGCCCAGTGCAGCAAGTGGTTAATCTGCCTTTGTATCATCCCCTTTTTGAGCGAACAAGGAACCTGCCAATAGGTGGAAAGATCATATGTGGAGCTTATCAGTGCTGCTGTTCTTTCACTGTCCAATCACAGGCTGGAGATGGGGAGGTGACCTAGCAGTATTGCTTTAAATGCAGCAGAGAAAAGTTGAGTCACCAGCATGGCTATGCTTTCTGGCTGTGTAAATTTTAAAACTGGTTGGACAGAAATAAACTTTGACTGGCAAAACAGTTCCTATTATTTATATTTCAATTGTTTTTTACGGTTGTTTGCCTGGATTTCAACTTTAAACCCATCACACGTTAAATATTAAGATTACTTTTAGTTCCAGGTTCTCATATAATAGGAAACATATGTTTGAATGTATGTTCCCTATAGTGATGTAGTGCCCCTTTAGATGGCTAGGGGGAGCTAGTTACTGATTGAAAGTTAGAAAGGCTGAGCGGCAGCCTGGGAATAGTCAACCGGGTCAAATTTGGTCAGGGTTGAGAGGCTCTGCAGATCAGTTCCTTGATACCTCCCCTTGCGCTACAATTTTGGAGAAGATTTCAGAAGCAGTGAGAAGGGCTGATCTGCATACTTGGGGGATCCTGACCAATCGCCAGGCTAGAGGCTTGGCATGGGGTCAGGACAGCCCTTAAGTATGACTGAGCTTGCACAGCAGCAGAAGAGTTTGGGTGGAAGATGTGAGAGAGGAAGAGATGCAGGAGCATGGGAGGAGGCCTAGTGAGAAGGGGTCTACCTACATGCTGGGACCTGGACAGGAGGATCGCTCAGCCTCACCAGTCCCTGGAGGGAGGACTACCTGTGGAGCCAGGAAAAGAGCCAGCCCAGCAGAAGGCCTGAAGGCAGCCACCTACCTATACCAGCTCAGAGGCAAAGACTAAGTAAGTAATCCTACA